AGAGGGCAGTGTCACTGGCCCTCATATGTGGGATCCGAACCGGGGCCCTCTGGTGTCCCAAGCCAGTTCTTAACCATCGCGCCACTCGGCCGGCCCGAGATTGTTATATTTTTTAATTAAGTATGCCCATCTATGTGCACAAGAGAGGAATATAAATTAAAACTTTTAAACTAAACAAAAAATTATAATTAATGATATACTTTTACAAGGTCATAAGCTATACAGCAAGGTAAAAAGAGTTTAATACCATTATCCTTCCTTAGATTTAGTTTCATTATGTTTGTTTATATTATTTTCTCCTATGCTGTAATACTGTGTTTTTAGGAAATTAATATCACTTCTGGAATTAGATTTTCTCCCTCAGTCTTGTTATAAAAGTTGCTTTAATTCTTTTATGAATAGGTTTTGGGGGTTTCACAGGTGTATAAAATTTTTAAAAATGTGGAAATAGCTTGCTCATTTCCTATTTTGACAAATTAGAATATATTTTTAAAAACCTGCTATCTTTATTTCGTAAAATGAAAGATTATTACTAAAAAAAGACTATCTCAGAAAAGGATGATTTTATTTAATAAATATACTTTTATTTTAGCAAATATAGTTTTATGATAAGCTTATTGAACTGTTTTCTTTTTATCATATCTCACACTAGAGGAAACATGTGGACCAGTTCTTGCTGTAGTCCAAGGCATTTGAAAATTATTGATGTAGTGTATCCTTCATTATTTCTTTTCTTTATCACTGCCAAAGGAGTATCTATCAGTGAAGAGAGATCTCTATCCCTTCAATGATGAGAATTTTTGCTAAATTATAAACTTTGCAGGGCATAGTACTGTTTACTTGAATATGACTTTACTTTCAATAGTGAAAATATCAATAAAAAACATATTTCTTAAGACTAGAGTATAATATATTATTGTGTCCCTCAGGTGTCTAAAACAGCACCAACTGGAGAATATTTGACAACAGGAAGCTTCATGATAAGAGGTAATGACTTGTTAATGGATTATAGAGACGGGTTTGAAGACCATCTACTAATAGTCTCAGAACAGACACTAATTATTTTGATTCATATATATAGTTATGAAATAGGGAAAGTTTTGTCTGGGTGTGGAAGAATGTATAGCATGATCTTTTTTGTAAAAATGGATTATTCAGGGTCTGACTAACCCAAAGGATGAGAGCAAGCAATCATGTTTTTTCTTTCTTAATTCCTTTTCTTTATATAATGCTGAATTCTGTAAATAGGAAATGTTCCTTCATAACAGAGAAAAGACAAAACAAATATGACCATTGATGTCAAATATCTTGTAAGCATAAACTGAAGAAAACATATTTTTAAATCATCTATGTATATTATCTTTTTAGGAAAAAAGAATTTTCTCCCTCCCTCATATCTAATGATGGGGTTTAGCTTCCTATTTAAGGTACTCTTCATCATCTTCATTATATTTTTTTCTGATTTTCATTAGTCTGACCTGAAGTTCCATCAATGAAAAAGAACTATTTCCACAGGTAGATGAGTCTTGTGTTTGGAGACATCGGGGTGAACGAAAAGTCAGAGTGCAGGATGAAGACATGGAGACGCTGGCGAGTTGCACAAGTGAACTCATATCAGAGGAAATGGAACAGCTAGGTAATGTATGGATTTTCATAAAGTAGCTTATAATGTTTTCTGTTGTCTAGTTCTGCTTCTAAATGCATACCTAGAAGACCATGTCTCCTTTGAGATCATTGAAATTCAAAAAAAAAAAAAAAAAGTTTGCTATCAGTTTTACTGAATTTTGGTTTTGGAAATGTTAAATACACTTATAATTTTAATGAATTAAAAAAGTAATTGGATCCCTAACTGATATAGTTGAGTATATGTTTATTATACTTGTATAGTAAAACTTCAGTATTTAATGGGTAATACATAAATGTGTTTAACAGATCAACTCAGGTATATATGAGTGAGCATTTACTTTGGGTTTAGGAATTAGAAGTGATACAAAGATGAGTTTATAACAAGTACAGTTTCCTTTATGAGAATTTAGCTTGATTCAATAACATATTTGTTCCCAGTATGGAATAAATTTACCTACATACCTAAAGGAACTAGGGAAAATATGCCCTCTAAGCTATTCTTTCTCCTAAAGTCATTCTTTTTTAGGCATATTATTGCATTGTTTCATTTACAACTATTATTGTTCTACAAGATTTCTATCTTTTGAATTTCACCATGTTCCCAATACTGTGTAAAGTGCTTTGTTTACATTATTGTTTATTGAATCTCACAACTGTCATCGTCAGATGGGTGGTGGCATCTCATTTTATAGGTGAGGCAACTAGACCATATTATAACTACTAGACAGTGTTCCTTTTGCCAAAGTATGAACACCTCCTGCTGTGTGCCAATTACATAGCACATATTATCTCCTTTCACTTCTCATGTGCAAATTATAATAAAAGCATTTTATTTATAGAACTACTTCAATTGTCTTCCTTTTTAGAAATACCTAACAATGAAAAGTTACAGTTTTTATTGTAGAAATGGTTGCGATATCCAAGAAATGTAGATTATAGTAAAAGATCCTGGAGGTCATTTATGCCAACCAGTTCATGATACAGAATATCCTTTGTCTAAATCAGAGTACCCTTGAAGGTAATCAGGCATTTTTCTGCTGATCTTTTGGAGACATGGAGTCAATAACATATTTTCAAGGAGATCACCTAGCTTTCTTATGGTAGTAGCACTCTCACTTTCCTCACGGTAATTCTACAGATGGAGGTGACAGTAGTAGTGAAGAGGAGAAAGAGGAATTACACGAAACTCCTATGGAAGTGGAACTCGTTGACCAGGAGGGTGTCACTATTCGGAGTGGTAGAGATGAGCTTACTGAAGAACTCCTTCATGAGGAAAGCTCTGAAGATGAAGGAGAATCTGAGGAAGTAGTGAAGGATCAGGAACCTGTTGGTGAAGTCAAGGATGACGGAGAAGAGACGTTCAATTACCCAGACACTACCATTGACTTGTCCCACCTTCAGTCCCAAAGGTAATTTAAAAACCAGAATTTTAAGTTTTATTTTGTAAGCTGGGAATGATGAAGAGTTAATCCTTACAAAGATAATACCAAGGTTGATGTTAGTACTTTTACTCTTCATTGTCCTGTGGTCTTACTATCTTGCCACCATTGGATTTGGGGGGCATGTCGCTCTAAAGAAATTTCCAAGACCCAGCATAGAAGAATACTGTAAATATAAAAATGGCCAACCTAGGTCAAAACAGATATGAGTAAGTGGTTATAAGTGCTAATAATATAAGAAAGGCACTTCCATCCCCAAAATAAGGTGTTTCAGTGTTTAATGTCTTACTGATCACCAAGTAAACAATACCATAGGTATAAAAGTATTATTATTGGAGAGTTAAGAATGGCTTAGGGCCAGCTGAGTGGCGCATTGGTTAAGAGCTGGCTTGGGATGCCAGCTCTGAGCAGCAAAGCCCAGGTTCAGATCCCACATGAGGGCCAGTGACACTGCCCTCTATAGCTAAAATGGTGAACAACAGCTCTACCTGAAGCTGGGCTGCCATGAGGCAACGGCATAGGCTGCAGCCCATGCTGCAGTGGGCTGCCATAAGCTACTGTGTGTGGCGGGCAACCAGCGTGAGCGGCCGGCAGCCAATGTGAGCTGCCAAGAGCCGCCATGAGTGGCCGCCATGAGCGGCCGTCTGGTGGCCAGCGACCGATCTGCCTCATCTGGGAAGAGCACAATGATAATACCAACTATGGGCCAGTGAAGCAACATCCTCCACAACTAGACTGAAGAACAAAAGGACAGCAACTTGTCTGTTCCCCTTCCCCCGATTCCCCAGCGCTGTTCCCCTCCCTCAATTCCCCAATAAAATCTTTAAAAAAAGAATGGCTTAGGAGTCAGACAGACCAAAATTGAGTCTTAGGGTGTATCCTTGGGCAAGTTACTTTATGTCTTAAGTTTCAGTTTCCTTCTTGGTGAATATTAATGCTGTCCGCTTCTTTGGGTTCTAGTGAAGATTACACTCACGTAAAGCATCAAGCACATAGGAATCATTTAATACATGTCAGCTATTAAAGAATATATTTAAAAGTGTGAGGAAATGAGCAATTTGATTATATTTTTTCTGATTTTACCAAATTTGAAAATCTGTGGGCTTGCCAGTAATTAAGAGTGTGCTGTGGGAATGTTTGGGGGTTTTGTAAATGAATGTCTCTACAGGCTGGTGCACCCCTCTGTTTTCATAGGACTCTACAGAAATTGGCTTCAAAAGAGGAACCTTCTAATATGGTAAGCTGTTTTCAAAGTTTTATGAAGAACATCGTGTTCTTCTCAATGAATAGAATAATTTTCTAATTTTTAATTTTACTATTTGAAAAATTAATGTTACTGATGTCATTGTATTGGCTTATTTTTTTATTTGTTTTAATTTTAATAGAGTGACAGTAAATTACAGAGCCGGAGACATTTGTCAGCTAAGGAAAGAAGGTAAACATATTTGTGTTATCCAATTGAAAGTATGTAATTTTCTTTTTTAATTGACAATTCAGTTATGACAGATCACTTGGCTTTTCTAAAGTTCTCCCTTATTAAAACTACCAACATTTAGCATAAATCTTTAGTTTTTAATAGTCAGCTCTGATAGGTTTTTGTGTTTTAGGGCCCTAATCTGTCACAATAATCAGTGAGATAGGTCAAGTGACATGAGACAGATCTTTTATTACATACATATATACAGTAGTGTTTCCAATGTATTAAATAGATTGGTTTTAGGATAATATTGACAGGAATAAATAGGAATACTTGAAATTAACTAGGAAAGTTTTATATGCAAGAGAGAAGACTTGTTTTTTTTGGTTTTTGTTTTTAAATTACAGCAGGATTTGGGAGGCAAATGAAAGGTAGAGGCAGAGGAAAGGAACACCTGAGACAACTACTGTGGGTGAAAAAGACTTTAGTAAAGCACTCAAGGAAGAGGCCCTAGATTGGAATGGAAAATAAACCTTTTTGTTTGAAAAAGATGATTATTAAACAATTAGAGAACTCTCTGAGTACCTGGCACTGTGCTAGATGCCAAATGTACAACGAAGTTCAGTATAAAGTCCGTGCTATCAAGAAGCTTTTGAATCCTGGATTCAGAAACTAGCCATAAATCTATAAATACATTTGACCCTTGAACAATGCAGGGATTAGGGGTGCTGACCCCCATGCAGTCGAAAATAATGCATGTAACTACAGTCTGGTCTCTACATCTGTGGATTCCTCTCCAAGGATCAGAAATACAGTTGGCCATGAACAACACAGGTTGAACTGTGCAGGCCACTTCTACGAGGCCTCTTAGTGCAAGCCTGCCATGTTCAGGGTCAACTTCAGTATTACCTGAACGTGATACAGTAGTTGAGGAGCAAGAAATTGCTGTGAGTTCAGGTGTCTTGTGAAATACCATCAGAAGTATACCTTGAAAACATATTAGGATGTAGGTAAATGAAGATAATAAAGTTGAACATGAAGAATTAGCATGAACAAAGCGGGCCTGGATTGGGAAGCAGTATGCTTTGACGAAATGCTAAATAAACTGAGGTGAAAGGAGCAAGAAGCCCATGTTTATGAACTAGTAGATAAGTTTGGCAAAGTGAATTCAGACCAAAGTGGACAACTTAGAATGACAAGCGAAGTATTTTGGATTTTATCCTGCAAGTGATGTGAGGACTTTTAGAAGATTTTAAATGGGAATGTGACATAGGTAAATACTTAAGGAAGATTAATCTGGAAGTTCATGTAGAGCCAATTATGGAGGAAACCACTGGAGGAAGTGGGTGGGAAATGATGAGGACCTGGACTAGGGCGGTGGCATTTGAAATAAAGATTGCATGTGAACAATACCATAGTAATAGAATTTCCCTTTCCTCCTTAATCTGCTTATTTTTTTATCCATTTATTTATTCAGCTAACCAATCAACAAATGTTTCATTGAATACCTAAGATCTGCCAAGGCCATGGTGATACAGAGTACAAATCCCAGTGCCTGGTCATCAGGGTGTTGAGGGACTGAATGTGGCTACTGAGTGTGAATAAGTCCAGGGTGTCCATGTGTTGAGCCTCCGTGAGAAAAAGAATGATGAATCCTTGAGGGAAAAATATTCAGCTTTTTCCTGCATCACTATTTGCACTTTTGTATACTGTAGCCTAGTGATTATCAAGTTAAGCAAAAGCTACGATCTTTTATGTATTGTACATGTTCCCTTCCCCATGTATTTTTTTTAGGGCACTAAGAACTTGAAGTTGTAAGATTAGATGTTTCTATTTCATTTATATTTAGGGAAATGAAGAAGAAAAAGCTTCCAAGTGACTCAGGGGATTTAGAAGTGATAGAGGGAAAGGACAAAGAAAAAGAAAATGCTCTACACATTGAAACTCAGCAGAACACAAGCAAGAATGCCCCGGCTGTGCAGCCAATGAAGCGAGGACAAAAGGTAAGAAAACTTAGCCGTGAAAAAATATATACGTGGTCACGGGGTGTCAAGTACAGCATAGGGAATATCGTCGGTGGTATTGCAATAGCTATATACAATGTCAGATGGGTGGTAGACTTGGGGGGTTATCACTTTGTGAGGGGTGTTAATGTCTCATCATTATATTGTTTGTACACCTGAAACTAATTAAAACAATAAAAAACTTTGGGGTGAATTGTTAAAGTTAATACTATATGGTTCACAAATGAAGCTATGAGGTTCCTCTTAATTTTTTAGAATTTAAGTGAAACAGATCATGTAGGCAAAAAAATAATCCTATGTGACACCCTTTGACTGAAAGGTAGTTGAAAAGATAGTGTTGAGGGAACATGAGATCACTGTTCTATATTCCTTTAAGATCATCTAGACAAAAGATCTCATTTTATGTAGAAGACGAATGGGAGGTTGTGATTTGCCAGAGACACTTAATCAAGTGGCAGTGCTGGTCTTGATTGGTAATTTAGCTTAGTAGTTTCTCTTTTAATTATTAATGCGATTTTGGTTAGAGTTCTTAAATATTTTATTAAAGGTGGGTGATTAAAGGAAGAAGTAGTAGATATAGAATATACTTTTTAAAATGCTGTAGCAGTGGGGCTGGCCGAGTGGCTCAGTTGGTTAAGAGCTCACTCAAAAGTTTGAGCTCTGAGCAACAACGATTTGATTCCCAGCCCAAGCTAAGCTGCTGCTGAGCTGCCAACAGATGGCAGGATGGCTTAGCTAAAAAAATAATAAAAATAAAAATAAAATAAATAAATAAATAAAATGCTGTAGCAGTATGAAAAAGGGATTGTGAGCTAATCTATCAGTGTATCTTTTTAAAAAAAGTCCTTTGAAATCTTAATAAAGATCATCTTTCCTGATCTTTCCTCCACCCATAGTGATCAGAATTTCCTGTGTTTTTTCCCAGTGGGTCTTAAATAAAGGAAGGATTATACTACACATATGGACGGGAAGAATATCAGTTCTCCCAGTATTAATTGTGTAAATTCAACATGACTTTAGTCAGAATTGAGATTTTAATTAACTTGATAAAGTAATTCTAAAGTTCGTTTGAAAGAGTAAATGCTAGAGAATAGCAAGGAAATCTTGAAAAAGAAAATTGAGAGGGGATTTCTCTAGTAGGTAGTAAAACATTTAATGTTAGAATTATTAAAACAGTGTGGTATTGGGCCGGCCGAGTGGCGCGATGGTTAAGAACTGGCTTGGGACGCCAGAGGGCCCGGTTCGGATCCCACATATGAGGGCCAGTGACACTGCCCTCCACAGCTAAGATGCTGAACAACAGCTCAACCTGGAGCTGGGCTGCTGTGAGTCGACGGCGACGGCGTAGGCTGCAGCCCCTGTGGCAGTGGGTTGCCATGGGCTACCGTATGTAGCCAGCAGCCAGCGTGAGCGGCCAGCAGCCGCTGTGAGCGGACATCCAGAAGCCCGTGACTGATGTGCCTCGCCCGGGAAGAGCGCAATGATGGTGCCAACTTGGGCCAGTGAAGCAACGTCCTCCACAACTAGACTGAAGAACAAAAGGACAGCAACTTGTCTGTTCCCCTTCCCCCAATTCCCCAGCGCTGTTCCCATCTCCCCAATTCCCCAATAAAAATCTTTAAAAAAAAAAACAAAACAGTGTGGTATTAACATAAGGACCAGCAGATAGAAAAGTGAAACAACAAAATCTAGACACAGGACCATTAATTCTATATTTAAAAATTTAGTATGTGACAATAATATTACAGATTAGGGAAGATATGAAATATTAAAAATTAGTGGCTAGTCATGTTAAAAAAATATAATAATACGAAAGTAAATTCCAGGTGGAAAAGAGAACCATCTATAAAACTGAAAGACAAATGGCAAATCTGAAAAAAAGGTGATAAAAGAAATGCTTATGTAAACAAGGGGAATTTTTTCACTTGTCAAATTAATAGATAATGTATGTTCAATGTCATTCAGTAAATATTTGAGTACACACCATGAGAATTGCCAGCAAGTGTCGTAACAATGCATTTAGTCTGACTCAGCAATTCCACTTTTAGGAATTTATCCTAAAAGAAATCAGTGTATGCACTAAGGATATTCATCAGGTTGATACTTATAATAGCAAGAAAACTGAAAATAAATGCCCAATGATGTAAAATAACAATAAATAATATGGTGCAGTTATATAATGACATACTCTACTTTTCATTAAAACTTTTATTAAAGTACATAATATTCAATTTTTGTTTTGTGGAGAATGTCATCTTTACCACATTGAGTCTTCCTATGTGAACTATAATTATGTAAGAATATATTCTTCAATAAAAATGTATTTTCCCCTAGAGTCTTACCCATCTTATCTATTACTACTTATAATTTTTCTTACTTTTTGTAAATGGTATATTTGGAAAACTTTCACTTCATTAGTTGCTGGTATGTGGGAAGACAATTTTCATATTCTAGTAATAGGCAATCTCATTGAACTTTTATTTTACTATTTCATCTGTAGGCAGTCATATATTGTCTGCAAATAATGGTGTTTTTTTCCTAATCTTAATTTCTGTTATTATATTTTTTGCACTGGCTGAAACATCAGTAATGCTGCGTAGGAGTATTAATAGTGTTCATCATTAATTACATTAAGAGGACTGTATCTGAGATTTTTATCATTGTGGGATGTTCCCTGTGGGTTAATAGATATCCTTTATGAACTTATTTTTGATAGTGATGAGTTAAATTTTATTGAACGCTCTTTTTGCATCCATTATTTTCTCCCTAAATTAGTTAATGTGGTAAATTGAGAAAATCTGTTAAATTGACCTCTCATTTCTCAGACTGTCCTTATCTGATTTTGGTATCTAGGTTACACTAGTTTAATAACTTAAGTTTGGGACTTTTTCTGCTCTCTAGAACTTTGTATAAAATGGAGGTTGTTTGTTCCTTGTGATTTGATAGCATTTCCTTGTAAAACGGCCTGGTGTTTAGGATTTTGATGGTAGGTTTTTAAGTACTAATTAAATTTCTTTAGTGATGATAGGTCCATTCAGGTTTTCTGTTTTTTCAAGTTGGTTTTCCTCAGTTATATTTTCCGAGAAACTCTTCTCATCAGGTTTTCCATTTGGTTCAATTTATTGGTAATATTGTTCATTTTATTCTTAAGATTTTTTTTGAGGCATAATGTATATATAGTAAAACCACAGATCTTAAGTGTTTAGCTCAATGAATTTTTATACGCGCACGTATCTGTGGAAGCACCTTCCAGATCACACTAGAACATTTCCAGTCCTCCAGAAGACTCAGTTTTGCCCCTTTCACAGTTGTATCCACCAAAAAAATTTTTCTTTGATCACTGTAGATTATTTTCCTGCTCTTAATCTTTATATAAAAGCAATCATATGATACATTTTGGTCTGGCTTGTTTCACTCAATATTCTGTGTCATCCATGTTGTAGATAGTAGTTCATTTGCATAGCATTCCATGATATGAGTCTACCCCAATTTATGTCTACAATATTGTTGATAGACATTCTTATGTATGTCTTTTAGATCCACAAGTATGCATTTCTGTTGTGTATAGGTGGGAGTGGAATTGCTGTGCAGGTTGTGGTTGGCTTTAATAGGTCTTACCGGTTTTCCTGATTACTTGAACCAGTTTCCCACCAAGCAGTGTGTCTGAGTTCCAGTTGCTCCATGTCCTCACTAACATTTGGTATTGTTAGGTTTTTGGCTGGTTGGGTGTGGTTTCTTTTTTTTTTTATCATTTAAGTGTGTATAGATTGAAATCTTATTTTGGCTTTAATTTGCATGTCCTTGATGACTAATGATATTGAGTACTTTCTCATGTTTAAGACCTTCGAATATATTCTTTTTGAAGTGCCCATTTTAAAAACGGGGCTGTCCCACTTTCTCATTGATGTATGAGTTCTTTGAAATCTGAATACAAGTCTTTTCTTGGATACATGTATTATAAATACTTTTCACATATTGAGGCTTGATTTTTTTCCCCTTTTATAAGTATTTTTTGATGAGCAGCATTTCTTAATTTTAATGAAGCCTGACTTATCAATCTTTTATAGTTTTTTGTGTGTTTAAAGAAATCTTTAAATTTTTAGAAATTTGTTATTTGGGCCTCAGCTAAGATAATCAAGACAAAAACCTTTGGAGGTGAGGCCTAAGATGTCTATAGTTTTAAAAACTACTAGGGTAGTTTGGATATGTAGCCTGAATAAAAATCCCTAGTTTAAGTTGATAAAATTCAGTCTTAAGAGTCTCTAGTAAGTACCCAGCCTCACTCTGCTGTTCTTCCTCTATTATATGTATATCCTGACGCCAACCAAATGCGATGACTTGGCGATTACTGCTCTGTCCTGTCTTTACTTAATAATCTTGCTTTTCTTACATTCCCAAATACTGTCAATTTATTCCCTTTAAGACTTTCAAGTTTTGCTTTATTTCTTCCCCAGTTCTTGCTCAAGGTGCAAGAAATGCCTCCTTTCTCAAAATTATCTTAGAAATAATTTGTACCTCTCCTGTAGTATTTAGAATATGTTGCATTAATTTTTTTTTTTTTTAGCTGAGCTATCCTGCCACCTCTTGGCAGCTCAGCGGCTGCTCAGCTCAGGCTGGGACTTGAACCGCTGCTGTTGCTCAGAGCTCAAACTCTTGAGCGAGCTCTTAACCAACTGAGCTACTCGGCCAGCCCAATTTATTCTTACTCTTATAGGTATTGTCTTTTCCATCAGATGGTAAATTCCTTGAGGGTGAGGCCTATGGTTTATCTCTTTGTAATGGAGCCTTGATCGATATTGATCGATAAGCATTTTTGACAGAGCTAAAGAAATACCTTTTCTTTGCAAAAATTTGTCCTTTTTTTACTGCCAAATTTTTCCAATCAAAATATTTTGATTTTGTAGAGTAAAATGAAAAAAATGAAGGAAAAATATAAAGACCAAGATGAAGAAGACCGTGAACTCATCATGAAATTGCTGGGGGTAAGTAACACCTCAACACATTTTGTTTTCCAAGAGGCATCTAGACCACTGCCTATCATATATGCTAGGCGTTCAGTACATTTTTGTTAAAATATTGACAATATTGAAAATACTTTTTTCCTCTCTGAATTAAAGTCTGCAGGTTCAAACAAAGAAGAAAAAGGAAAAAAGGGGAAGAAAGGTAAAATAAAGGATGAACCAGTGAAGAAACAGCCCCAGAAGCCTAGAGGTGGACTAAGGACCTCAGACACCATAGTAAAAGAAACCCCCTCTGTTGAGGTTGTAACTCATGAGTTACAAGACTTGGCTGTGGATGATCTACACGATGACAAGGTAAAGCTACCACAAACATATGGGCTTTTGCTTAATGAGGGTTACCCATCACCCCAGGCTTCCCAGGACATGGGACTTAAGTGTTCAAACCAGGATGAATGGTAACCCTAGTCTTAATAAGTGTATCTTAAAAGAGTTCACTACAAGTCTTTATAAAAATAATCACTTTTATGGAGAGGCTTTCTTTGAATCTGGTGGGAACTTAGAATGAGACAAAATAATTGGGATTGTCTTGAAGATGAGTAGAAAATAAATTTGCTCTAGGATTTATATAGGAACATATGCTGTATTGCCTTCCATAATGTTGAAAGTGGTTACACAGTTAGTAACCAATTGCCCTGGTTGCAAAACCAGTGAGAAGCTAACATTTTCCCAGTTGAGAATTATTCTATCAGCTGAATACAGTAAGCCCAGCCTTAAGTATACCTTTTTGCATGAATATGTACATCTTCTTGAAATTCTGGGCAAAGGGTTTGTTTTCTAAATTTGTAACCAGTTTTCAATTCAGCCTATATTTTTATTTATGGCAGTTAAGTTTTGGATTTAATTGTGTGCTCTGTTCAATGCAGATAATGTTTATGGGGACCTAAATGTAGTATGGTTCTTTTTTCTCTGCTGAACAGTATTGTTGTTTAGTAATACTGAAACTCATTTTGGTCCTCAGATTTTTACACTTCTTATATTCACATTTTATTCTGTAAACCCTAGACTCAACAAGTATTCATTAAAAGTATTAATTATGAATGTTCTTTCACAGATAGGTTATCTCCAGAGATTTTTTAATGTAAGCAAACAAAATCTTTTTTTTTTAAGATTTTATTGGGGAGTTGGGGGAGAGGAACAGTGTTGGGAATTGGGGAAGGGGAACAGACAAGTTGTTGTCCTTTTGTTCTTCAGTCTAGTTGTGGAGGACGTCGCTTCACTGGCCCATGTTGGTATTATAACTGGGCTCTTCCCAGCTGAGGCAGATGGGTTGCCAGCCTTTGGACGGCCGCTCATGGCAGCTCACTGCAGCCTACGCCATCGCTGGCCACTCACGGCAGCCCAGTTCCAGGTCGAGCTGTTGTTCACCATCTTAGCTGTAGAGGGCGCAGCTTACTGGCACATGTGGGAATCAAACCGGCAACCCTGTTGTTCAGAGCTCGTGTGCTTACCAACTGAGCCACTCTGCCGGCCCCTAAGCTTATCTTTATGTGAGAAAATTTATCTTAAAATTGTTTAACAGAGAATAAAATATAAAAGCTCAGTTCACCAAAATACTCCATTTTCTTTTTCCCTGGCAAATGCATCAAGCTTAGTGGTCATTTTTTATTGTCCTTATAACATTGACTGCTTCAGCATATACTCTATGTAGAAGTTTTTAAAGAACTTCAAAGACCAATCCTTTTTCACTTTGAATGACATTGCTTTCTGAAATATCAGACACACAATTAATTCCCTCAGTCTTTAGGACACTGAAGAACATAACACACAATCTTGGGGTTCTTATCCTGTGGGTTAGATGTGACGGTCTTGTTACATCACTGTTTCTTTCTCCTCATAGTTTTTAATGGTGTGGAATTTCAATTTAAGTTATAGCTGACTTTGTAAATTTTATGTTTGGAGCAGGAAGAGCAAGATCTGGATCAACAGAGAAATGAGGTATGATCTAGGGTTGGGTTTCCACTACGGTACTCTGACTGCAGTCCAATTCCCAGAACGTTTTACACACAGCTCCTGACTAATCAAAATGGAAAGTGCTATGACAAGTCTACAGGCTGTGGACTCAAACACTCATGGTTTGGATCCTAGCCTTGTTACATATAACTGCAACCTTGGAAACATTGTTTTTTGTACCTCAGTTTCTTCATCTGAAGAATAGGGATAATAATTGTCCCCAGTAGGAGACAGTTGTTTTGAGAACTAAATTAATATACATAAAGCACTTAGAAAAAAGTTCATGGCACATAATAAACACACTACTTCAGCACCAAGCATTTGGTCTCTAAATTTACTCATGTTGTTGAATAAATATGGGCAATCTTGTAGGCAGCCCACCAAATGGGAACTCGAAGAAGCCCTAGGACTTCTCCTTAAGAACTAGCAAGAGAAGGCTGTCCTAGCCCAGGAGTTTCTCAGCTTTAGCAGTGAGAACATGTGGGGATGGATAATTCTTTGTTGTGGGTATTACCACTCTATCCCGCTCCCCCCGCAAAATTCTTCCCAAGTTGTGACAACCAAAAATGTCTCCAGACATTGCCCAATGTCTTTTGGGGGGCGAAACCCCATGGTTGAGGAACCACCGGTCTAGCCAAAGTATCAGTCCAGTTTCCATGCAATGGATTTAAATCTATTTGTGGTCATTATTGTGCTTCATTTTAATCCATAGTTTTCCACAACTAAGATAATATCCAAGTTTTTTCTCCCTTTCTTTTAAATGTATTTACAAGTGCCATTTTGAAAGTCATTGTTCTCATTTTTCATTATACTAGGCAAAACTTATAAGCACTAAACAATATATATTTAAACACCATTGGTCTTAAACTTTGGAGCTGTAAAGCAGAGCTTAAGACTATATGTCTAGCAGTAAAGGATAAAAATATGTTGACATCAATTTGACAGGTTTTAGAGTTTCTTTTTAGAGCTGATGTAAATTACTTTAATAATTGTTTCTGTTTACCCTTTTTAGGAAAACCTGTTTGACTCTTTGACAGGACAGCCACATCCTGAAGATATACTACTGTTTTCCATTCCAATATGTGCCCCTTACACCACCATGGTAAACTATAAGTAAGTCATCACTAGTTTACTCAAAACCACTGTCACAATAGTGATTTATGAATTGTTTTGTAATCTCTATTTAGTAACACATGCAATTCTTTTTTAAAGATACAAAGTGAAACTTACTCCTGGAGTTCAGAAAAAGGGGAAAGGTATTTAAAAATTTTTTTGAATTACAATTTTAAACATTTCTTGACTGAACAAAAGTAGATTGTTTTATTTTCTATTTACAGCTGCAAAAACTGCCTTGAATAGTTTCATGCATTCCAAAGAAGCAACTGCACGAGAAAAAGACTTATTCCGCAGCGTTAAGGTAAATGATTCCCTCCAGGACTTTCTGGAGACTGGTGTTGCCACTAAAAATGTCAGCAGTATAATTTGCTCTTTTTTGTTCTTGCTTTATTTAGTAGTTGCAAGCTGCAGCTGTTGTTTTGATAGAAAATGCTGTCTTACTAGAAGCAGTATAAAATAAGTAAAATCACTTCAAGTGAAAATTTTGGAAATGCCTTTGTTTTGACAGCAGAGGATACATAATTATCATAAAAATATGATTAACCATATAGAATGTGAAGATATGAAGATATTTAGCAATTCTCTTTTTTTAGGACACGGATTTATCAAGAAATATTCCTGGCAAAGTGAAAGTGTCTGCACCCAATCTTCTGAATGTAAAAAGGAAATAGCTGAAATGAAATCCTAAAATATTTGGGAAGAGCCGATTTATAGCCTTTTGGAAGTTCAGATGAAAATACCATGTAACAAGACTTCCGCATTTGAAAATTAACGATACATTGCCTTGCTATGTTCGCTAAAAGGACTTATTCTTGTTTTTTCCAGTTTTATAGAGAGGAGACACTGTCTATGATAGGATTTCCTAAAATATTTGTGGATAGTTAAACGCTAATTGTATACATCTGTAGTTATTCTACATTTTCTTGAAATTTGGGGGGGCTAATATTCATTTCATGTTGTAAAGAAACTGAATAGTGAAATGGCTCAATTGCTTAGACTATTGACTTGGTAGTCTATTGTATATATAAGGTCTAATATATCTATTACTCACAGGCCAATCACAAGATTTTTTTTTTTCTTCTGGTGGTAGTGGAGATTGGGGGCAGTTAAACATTTAGAGGTTAAGTCTTGAAAACCCTAAGTAGTGAAGGAGTAAATTTCTTTCTGCCTTTACTTATACTTATCAAAGGTATATTAGACCAGATTTAAAATACAAATAATTCCCATGACTCAGCTTAAGAAATAACACCTAGAAGAAAATGGTGTCAATCATTTCCATACATTTATACACCCTCAGTTTTCATCGTAATTTCTTTCTTGTAATCTCATTCAGTTCTGTACCATTTTATTTTCCACCTCTAGTAATTATCAGTAGCATGTTATGGAGTATCTTAACCCATAATATCAAAAGTGCACTTTTAGGCTTACCAATAGACTCCTGACCCAGCTTTCTTCTTCTGTCTCCTAACAGAATGGAGAATAAAGTCATAGTTGACTTCCATTCTTTTATGAGCTACAAAATGATTAGACAGCAGCTGTCCAGAGTCAGCATGACCATCTGCCCAGCCCCTATACCAAAGTGTTAAGGTCAGAGTCCTAAATAGCTGTTGGTCCTTTCAGAATTTCTTTTACCAGCTTATTAATCCTACTAAGAATATTTTCCACTTGAAATTGTTTAAAAAACTATAATTATGTAATCTAGTGTTGTACGTACAACATAACAGACTACTCTTGCCATTTAAAGAAAATTAAAATATTAATTTTTTTAAGAAATAACTTCACCATTTTAATAGTGGTAAGAATAGTCAGTCTAGTTTCTATAGATATGTATCTTGAAGTTACCAAAAATGCACTATAATAACCATACCTTGGGGTACACAAAGCCCAAGTATTAATTCTCTTTGTTTTACTAGAAGACAGTTACTGGCGTTAAATACATTTATTGTAAACTTTAGACACAAAAATAGGTTCTCTAGGCCATTCACATGCACATTTAAACCAAAAAGCTGTAAAACTACAACAATGCATATCATTATACCAACAATGCCACGCTGATGTTTACAGAATTGCTGTCCATGCAAAGTGGTCAGAGGCATTATCTGTGAAGCCTTAAGATCCAGAAGTGTTGTTACTCCCAAACCTCTGATTAACACTGTGAAGCAAGTGTTTCGGGAGGCAGTTCCACGAGTTGGCTAATATTTCTTTAAAGCAGATGACTGCTTCTAAGCTTAGCCTGAAAATGAACATGGAAAAGAGAAAAATAATTTCACGTTACTGTTCAGAAATACATTCACTTAAAGAATTATTTAAAAAACACATTTTCTTTAAAGTTTTTCATAGGATTATTCATAAACCAGGTTTTTCAAGAGCACTACTTTAAAGTGTTAAAAAGTACAATTTAAAATACTCTTAAGTACCAAGTAAAAAGTTATTTACCTTACAAGAGATTTTGGTTGAACTGAAAATATAAGTACTTCATTACTGTGCGCCTGAATAATAGATAAGAACACATTAAAAAGCAAGCACTTCACAAATACACTTCAGCGCTATTATGAAGTGGCCTTAACAGAGGGTAGTATACTTACAGCTCTGTGATGGACAAGGAGGTTATTGGCACACCCACCAAAAACAATTACTTCTCCTTCGTCACTGGCACAAGCTGTGTGCCATAATCTACATTGAAAACAAAAGTCTGAATTTGAAGTCACCCAAAACACCAAATTTGTCATTTATACTATAGAATAGGACTAATGAAATAAAGACTAGCGATCTTTAGTTCAGACCAGAAGAACATCAAGGTGAGATGCGATTAAGTAGCCAAAGCTAGAAAAATCAATGTCTATTTTATCTGGATGTTATCATTGTCTCTCTGGTCCAGTCCTAATTTATGCAATAAGGGAAATGAACTGTTCTCTGGGTCTTTGTTAGCAATAAAATCTTACAGGTGAGTGGGATATGGCCTCTCCTCCTTCCTATTTTCATAGGCAGGGCCAACTGGCCTTACACATCCACCACCTGAGGGATGCCTGAGTAAACTGAAAGTATGTGAAGGCCTAGGAATTCTAAGGCAAGAATATTTGTGCCAAATGAAGTCTTAGTGGCACGACTGTACTTAGGTTAGAGACTTAGAAAAAAAATGCAGTGTGACATATCTAAATGTGCTTTGAACAATTTTGACTATCGTTTCCTTTTCAGTCTTTAAGTCTTTGTCAAAACGTCATTTTGAGATTAACAACAAAAATAGCTATCAGTATTTTAATAGGCTCTTCTTTTATGATTTGATTTTTTAATCTTTGTTATACAGTGCTATTTCAAATCTAATTGAAAGTTCTTAATTTTTTTCCCCCATACACATTAATGTTTTGAAATTCTCGGGCCGGCCGAGTGGCTCAGTTGGTTAAGAGCTCGCTCAAGAGTTTGAGCTCTGAGCAACAGCGGTTCGAGTCCAGCCCAAGCTGAGCAGCCACTGAGCTGCCAACAGGTAGCAGGATGGCTCAGCTAAAAAAAAAAAAAAAAAAAAAAGAAATTCTCTCCTTTCGAGCTCTTTTTTTTTTAAAGATTTTATTGGGGAATTGGGGGGAGGGGAACAGGCAAGTTGCTGTCCTTTTGTTCTTTAGTCTAGTTGTGGAGGACGTCACTTCACTGGCCCATGTTGGTATTATCATTGCGCTCTTCCTGGGTGAGGCACATCAGTCACTGGCCCCTGGACGGCCACTCAAGGTGGCTCTTGGCAGCTCACTCCTGCTGCCAGCCACTCACAGTAGCTTTACAGCAGCCCACTGCAGCCTACGCTGTTGCCAGCGACTCATGGCAGCCCAGCTCCAGGTAGAGCTGTTGTTCACCATCTTAGCTGTAGAGGGCACAGCCTCGCTGGCCCGCATGTGGGGTCCGAACTGGGGACCTGCTGCTCAGAGCTGGCGTCCCAAGCCAACTCTTAACCAACGCGCCACTCCTCTTTCTTTTTTAATGACAGACCTAGATGCAGTTCAACTACTAGGGTAAAGAGCTTGATTATAAATTTTAACTATATCAATAATTTTACAATAAAGTAAGAAAATCAAAATCCAGCCCTATTTTTCATAGAGATGACAAAAAAGCATTTGTAGTTTTCTTTCAAAAGATATGATGTTAAACCTTAGTGAATGCTAGGATATTTATTATAAGAATGATGGCTTTAACGCAGCCAAAATTTCCTCTTATCGTTCAGTCTTGTACACCTCTATGGATCTCATTCATTCAGGATAAGAATTACCTTTTTAAATAGCTCATACCTTGGTTTGTCAGCATAGGGATGATTAAACTGTATCCATTCATTTTTACTGATGCAGTACGTCCAGGCATCACCTGATGACAACAGAAAAGAACTATGAAGCATGTTATTCTGTCAACATGCCATTGACATTTAAAGGGCACAGCTTTAGCAAGAAAAGTAATCATGAGTTGACACAGAAAGTATAATTCCTTTTTTTGTCTCTGATTAACCAAATAAGTCCTTTGCATGTTATAGCCCTTCAGTGCGCTTTAAAGTGCTCCAGGTCATTTCTTTACAGAATGGATGTAATGTCATAGTATGAACACAATTACAGGTATGTTATGGGATCGAAATTAATAGCAAACCTTCCAACCAATCTCATAGCCCTGATACATCTAAAATAGACTAATTTTTTCCCAACTATTTATATATATGAATGATAGGTAATGATTTCTTATCTATTTCTAAAGGACTTACTTAGTGGCTGTTTGTCAGTGGTAAATCCTCCAAAGAGAAAGAGGTGATCTGAAGAAACAGGTGTGAGCGAGTGCCAGGATCGGCCCACGGGGCATGTGCCTTGCGGGGTTCTGAAAATGACAGCGAAGTTACAGTAGCAATGTTTAAAAGCAGCTACTGTAGTTAATGCAGAGAAATATTGAAGTTTTCTTTTAATATTTATATGGAATTAAGAAAAAAAAGACTTTAAAGAGGCTTCTTGGTATTAACAACTGCATGCTTTAGAATGCACTTTTTTCTCTGAAGGAAGAGTGAACTTTAGACTTTTTCTTTTCGACAAGCACTGGGCACATGCTACATGCCAGGCACATAGTTATGGGAAATGGAAATAAAAAAATAAAATTCTTCCTTTAAGATCTAGTGATCATGTTTATTTAACTTCAGTTACAGAAAATTTCAGCAAGTACATTGTATACTAATAATACAGAATAAGGAAAAAAGCCACTGAGATGTTTTGAAAGCCTTTTCTAAATAATTATATAAAATGATACCTACAATTCATTCCACTCCCATGTATCCAGATTAAGATAGTGAAGATCATTCATTCTAGCATCCTGAAAAAGGATAATTTTATAGTTATCGTTTTAACAATTAAAAAGCAGGTCATGAAACTGTTATATACTCACCCGGTATCTGCCTCCAAACACAAAGCCTTTGTTTCCGACCGTGGCACAGGCGTGGGCAGCGCGAGGCGACGGTGCTTTACCCTGTTGAGTCACAGGAGCAATTTAATACATAAGTGCACTTTGTATAACTACTAGAAAGTTTTCTCTGGATGTGAGATAAGAATGTGCGAGACTTGAGCTTTTAAGCTGAAGTGCAGACTTCTAGTCAACGGCAGTACTAAAGGCTGATTACCAGAACTGGAAATTTTAATTTTAATTACAAACAATACCACTAAACGTCTATTAGATAATAGATGCTGGGTTGGTCTACACATTCATTAAACGTTTTTGAGTTCCAACTTAAGACTCCTTGGAGAATAATGAAAGCTATGGGTCTTCTCTCTCCAGAAAAAGAAGACTGAACTGTCGGTTTTCCACCACCTCACAATCTCCCCTCTCCTCTAAGCAGTGTTGCTTTAATAATCCATTATTCAGTAACTTACAGTAGTTACAGGCTGGCTCCAGATAAATGTTTCAGTGTCTAAAATATGTACATGATCATTCCATCCTCTTGGATGACTTGAATTCTATAGAAAATAATAACATGAGATATTTTACAATTATTTGCAAAACTATACAGCCTTAGATTTATTATCAAGGCAAAATTAACAAAACTACTAGCAAA